TAAGCTATGATCATGCCACAGCATTCCAGCCTGGGTAACAAGATGAGACCCTATCAGTCAATAAATCAATATTAACCCTTTGCACTCACTTGCTTTTTTCTTGATTCCTTTATTCTACTCAGGATTTAATTTTTTAAATACCCCAGATTTTACAAAGCGCAGTGGTAGAATAAAAAACTGGGGTTTATTTTCATACAAACTTATTTATTTGGATTTTTTTATATTTCAGATTATTGATACATTCAAAGAGTAATTTTAATCTCTATAATTTTTGCTAACCGTGTCAAGTCACACTCGACATCTGAGTGCAAAGGGTTAATAAATAAAAACTAGAGCAGAAGTCAATGAAATTGAAAACAGGAAATCAATGAAACTAAAAGTTGGTTCTTTGAAAAGAACAATAAGATTGATAAACATCCGTCTAGCTAACTAAGAATAAGAGAGGATAGATTACTAATATCAGAAATGAAAGAGAAGACACCACTACAGGTCCATGCATAGTACAAGGATAATAAAAACACAACTGTCAAAATTTACACAAGATGAAACAGAAATTATACCAATTCTCTACAGTCTCATTCAGAGGACAGAAGCAGAGGAAATACTTCCAAATTTATTCTATCTGGCTAGAATTATCCTAATATCAAAACCAGAAAAAGATATTACACGAAGTATAACTACAGGCCACTCTCTCTCATAAACGTATACGAAGAACTCCTCAACAAAATATTAGCAAATAAAATCCGACAATGTACAAAAAAAAAATTATATATCACAAGCAAGTTGGATTTATCCCAGGTATGCAAGGCTGGTTTGGTATTTGAAGATCAATAAATGTAATCCATTATATCAATAGGCTAAAGAAGAAAAACACACGATCATATCAGTTAATCCATAAAACGCATTTGACAAAATCCAACTCTTATTAATGATCAAAAACCTCAGTAACTAGGAATGGGGGCAACATCTTGAACTTGATAAAACTATCTATTAATACAAAAAACCTACAGACACTATCCTTAATGGAGAGAAACTCAAGGTTATCCCACTAAGATCAGGTAAAAGGCAAAAATGTCCCTTCTCACCACTGGTTTTCAACATCACAATGGAAATCCTAGCTAATGCAATAACACAAGCAAAGAAAATAAAAGGCATACAGATTGGGATGCAAATAATAAAACTGTCTTTATTCATGAATAACATGACTATGTAGAAAATCTGAAGGACCTGACCCAAAACTCCTGGAACTAACAACTAATTATTAGTTATATATATAACTATTAGTTACATAATATAACTTATATAATATAATAATATATATATTATATAATATAATAATATATTACTATATCAATGTAATACTAATCATAATATATAAGTTATATAACTATAATATAACTTATTAGTTATAACTAGTTATAACTAATAAGTTATAACAGCAAGGTTGAAGGATAAAAAGTTAATATACAAAAATCAAGCATTTTCCTGTATATCAGCAATGAACAAGTGGAATTTGAAATTAAAATACGATGTACCATTTGTATTAACACCCCTAAAATGAAATACATAGGTATTAATCTAACAAAATATGTATAAGATCTCTCTTAGGGAGAGTATAAATCTCTGATGAAATTTAAAACAAACTAGACACATCTCTCATCAAAAAAAAAAATAAAAAAAAATAAAACAAAACTAAAACAACAAAGATACTCTATGTCCTGGGAAAGGAACAATAAATATGCAAAAGTCAGTCCTTTCCAATTGATCTACAGAGTCAGTCAATCCCAATCAGGCCCCAAGTCAAGCTTACTTGTGGTAGGACAAACTGATCTAAATTTAACAGACAGCAAAAGACCTGGATAGCCCACAAATACTGAAAGTTAGAACAACAAAGTTGTAAGACTGCACACTATCAAGACTTATAGTAAAAGCTACAAAATAATACGGCAGTAAGGATATGTAAAAGAAGAACAGCATAGATCACCTGAAACAGAATAGAGAGCACATAAGTAGACTCCACATAAATGTAGTCCACTGATCTTGACAAAGAGTAAAGGCATACATGGATCAACAGACAGCCTTTTCAATAAAGGTAATGGTTGAAATGAATGACTAGGCACCCACATCAAAACAACAAAAAAACAAAAGAACTAGAACAAAACCTTATATCCCTCACATAAATTAACTGAAAATGAATCACAGACCTAAACATCAAATGCAAAACTACAGAACTACAAGATAGCACAGGAAAAAATATAGATGACCGTGGTTTGGTGATGATTTTTTTTTTTGAGACAGAGTCTCACTTTGTTACCCAGGCTAACAGGAGTGCCATGGCGTCAGCCTAGCTCACAGCAACCTCAATCCTGGCTCAAGTGATCCTCTGCCTCAGCCTCCCAGTAGGCGGACTACAGGCATGCGCATGCCCGGCTAATTTTTTTTTCTATATATATTAGTTGGCCAATTAATTTCTTTCTATTTATAGTACAGACGGGGTCTCGCTCTAGCTCAGGCTGGTTTTGAACTCCTGACCTCGAGCAATCCACCCACCTCGGCCTCCCAGAGTGCTAGGATAACAAGGCGTGAGCCACCGCGCCCGGCCTGGTGATGACTTTTAACATATGTCAAAACCATGATCCATGAAAGAAATAATTAAGTTGGACTTCACTAAAATTAACAACGTCTGCTCTGTGAAAGATACTGTGAAGAGAATAAAAAAAACAAGCCACAGACCAAGAGAAAAAAATGTAAAAGACCTATCTGTTAAAGGAGAGTTATCCAAAGCTACAAAGAATTCTTAAAATTCACCAATAAGGCTGGGCGCGGTGGCTCACGCCTGTAATCCTAGCACTCTGGGAGGCCGAGGCAGGCGGATCCCTCAAGGTCAGGAGTTTCGAAACCAGCCTGAGCAAGAGCGAGACCCTGTCTCTACTAAAAACATAAAGAAATTAACTGGCCAACTAAAAATATATAGAAAAAATTAGCCGGGCATGGTGGCTCATGCCTGTAGTCCCAGCTACTTGGGAAGCTGAGGCAGGAGGATCGCTTGAGCCCAGGAGTTTGAGGTTGCTGTGAGTTAGGCTGATGCCACGGGACTCTAGCCCGGGCAACAAAAAAAACCCCTCACCAATAAGGAAACAACTAACATGATTAAAAAATGGGCCAAAGACATGAACCTTACTAAAAATATACAGATGAGAAAAAGCATACAAAAAAAGATGCCATATCATATGTCATCAGGGAAATATATATTAAAGCAACTAGATACCTCTACATACCCATTCACTGCAGGTGTAAATGCCAAATGGTACAGCCACTTTGAAAGACAGTTTGCTAGTGTCTCATAAAACTAAGTACGCCCTTACCATAATAACATCCAGCAATGGTGCTTTTTGGTATTTACCAAAAGAAGTTAACAATTTATGTCTACACAAAAACCTGGACATGGATGTTTACAGGAGCTATATTCATATTGCAAAAACTTGGAAGCAACCAAGACGTCCTTTAGTAGGTAACTGGATACATGACTGGTCCATCCAGACAGTGAAACATTATTTAGTGCCAAAAAGAAATAAGCTGTCAAGCCATAAAAAAGACATGAAGGAACCTTAAATGTATACTATTAAGTGAAAGAAGCCAATCTGAAAAAAGCTGACTATTGTATGATTCCAACTATTAACATATGACATTCCAGAAAAGGAAAGAGTACGGAGACAGTAAAAAGATCAGTAGTTGCCAGGGGTTGGGGGTAGGAGGTGGGAAGGATAAACAGGTGGAGTGCAGAGGATTCTCAGAGCAACAGAAATACTCTGTGACATACTATAATGATGGATGCATGTCATTATATATTTGTCCAACCCATATAATATACAACACCAAGAGTGAACCTTAAGGTAAACTATGGATTTTGGATGATTACAATGTACCAATATGGGTTTGTAGGGTCCTCCAGATTCCCTCCACTTTCTTTCTGCATCCTGACCAAAAATCAGAGTACTTTAACCACTCTGGAGGTTTAGGGTAATCCCTTGTGGCACTTCCCCTATGCCATTTTTGGGGTGACTCTAGCCACAAGTTTGGTGGGACAAAACAAAGTTCGTCAATTATAATAAATGCACTACACTCTGGTGGAGATGTTAATAATAAGGAGTATGCATGTGTTGGGGCAGGGACGTCTGAGAAATCTTTGTATTTTCCTCTTAATTTTACTGTTAAACTAAAAGTGTTTTTAAAAAATAGTCTAATAAAAAATTAAAATTAAAAAGAGAAACCTCACTCCTATAGTACTTCTGCTAAATACTCCTAAACTAACCATTCATTTTCCATCTCAATAGATGTCACTTCTGCACTTTCATCTGCTAAGGCCAAACATCTTGAAGTCATACCTGACTTCTCTCTCTCACCATACCCAACAGAAAATTGTCCCTATTTACTAAACAGATTGAGAAATTAACCTCCTCTCCCAACTTGACAGCTACTACTCTGATCCAGCTACCATCAACACTCACCTGAAATGTCAGAGTAGTCTTCTGCTTGCCCCACTATCTGTTACCTACTTTGTCAACAGAGGAGCTTGTTTAGACCTTAGTCGTATCACTTCTCTCCTCTGCCCCAAACCCTCCCACCGCCCTCAGTTGAGGCCTTTGCTCCTCAACATAACCCTCAGGATGGACTCTTATACTTTCTTCTCTGTTCTTAGCAGACACAATGGAGACTTGCAGTTTTCTAAACATCCCCACATTATTCTTACCTCCAAGCTTTTTGACATGCTGGCTCCCATGCTGGAAACCTTTCATCATTTCATCCTATCGGACACAGAAATGCAAGCATCTCCATATAACTTCTGACCCTGATTAAGGATTCTGGGGCTGAGATGACCCCAGGGCCCCAGGACTAAGGACAAAGAGTCCCAGGACACCAATTATCACTTGTATCTTTGTGCCAGGATCATATAGTGTAGGGATCAGGGTTGGTGAGAACCTGGGACTTCTTCCACTTACCTGTGATGGTTCCACAATCCCTTCTGTTGCCATGGTAATCTGTGGGAAGAGATAGGCTATGAGAAAAAGATGATCATGGTGGTGTATACAAAGGCTGAGTCATTCCCGTTTTGTCCCAGAAAAGCGTGACCTCAGGCTGACATATAGCCTCACGTCCGCAGTCCTCAGCACTACCCCTTGACATCGTGTCACACTGGACAAAGACCTGAGACTATCTTCATCTGTAAAGTGGAAACACTTATGACAACCACCTCATAGGGCCATTGTAGGCATCAAACTCATTAGTACATGTCCAATATTAAGACTTAGGTATTACTCCCCATAGGATTAAAATTTCTATAAATGTCTTTACAAATTTGGGTATCTCTTACTGTTATTTAAGACCTTATATGAATACAGTATTTCTTTTCTTTTCTTTTCTTTTTTTTTTTTTTTGAGACAGAGTCTCGATTTGTTGCCCAGGCTAGAGTGAGTGCCTTGACATCAGCCTAGCTCACAGCAACCTCAAACTCCTGGGCTCAAGCGATCCTCATGCCTGAGCCTCCCAAGTAGCTGGGACTACAGGCATGCGCCACCATGCCCGGCTAATTTTTTGTATATATTTATTTTTAGTTGGCTAATTAATTTCTTTCCATTTATAGTAGAGATGGGGTCGTGCTCTTGCTCAGGTTGGCTTCGAACTCCTGAACTCGAGTAATCCGCCTGCCTCTGCCTCCCAGAGTGTTAGGATTACAGGCGTGAGCCACCGCGCCCGGCCAATACAGTATTTCATTAAATAATTAGAGGTTTCTGTGATTCTCTTTCTGACACCAAAATATGTAGTGTCTTTTCCAACACCAATTTTCTGATTCTCTGATAACTGGGTGTCCCACAATACAATTCTATTCTGGGTACTAACTACCTGGAGTCACCATCTGAAACAATAGGTTTAAAGGCTTAGTCATACAAAACTGCCCTTACTTCAGATGCCAACATGCAGTCCACTGTAATTCTGTCCAATGTGGCCACAAATTTTGGGGTTGCCATGACCTTAGGTTCCATAATTTACTAGAACCACTCACAAAACTCAGGAAAATACTTTATGTTCACTGGTTTATTACAAAGGATACAACTCAGGAACTGCCAAATGTTAAGAGATGTGTATGGCAAGGTACTGGGAGAAGGGGTGTGGCAAGGTGCTTCCATATCCTCTGTGGATAGATCTCCCTTCCAGCATTTGCAAATTTTCACAACTTGCAAGCTTCCTGAATCTCACTGTTCAAGATTTTATCTAACCTAATCTCTAGTTCCTTTCTTTTCCCTGAAGGCTGAAAGTTCAAATTCTATAATCACTTGGTCTGTTTTGTGACCAGCTCCACTTTGAGCCTATCTCAAGACCCCACCCTAATTCTTCTCACCCTAAGCCATCTCATAAAACTCAGGTACAGTAGTCTCCCTTATCTGTGGCTTCATTATCTGTAGTTTCAGTTACCTACAGTCAACTGAAGATGCTTAGGAAATTTCACCCCCAAATGTGTCTCCCTGGTATAAACGATACTTTGAATTAAAGGCCCTTCAAGATCAACAGGCATTGGAAGGGACTTCCCCTTTATCTGTATAAACTGGACTGACCCATCAAAAAGAACAATTGATTTTCCTTCCCCTTCCCATTCTCTCAATATATTGAAGGAAAAAATGATTAAGAATGCAACCAGACCTGGCCCAAATCATTTTAAACATAATACCTGTCTCTCAGGTTAATTTAATTTGCAAAAAGAATCATTTACAAGTCAATCTGTTTCTCCCATGCATTCATTCTCCCTAGCAACCATTTATTGATCCTAAACAAAAATACCTATATTTCTCATCTTCCATTCCCCTCTAAAAGGGTGGTATAAAAATATCTGGATCCCTCTGGAATATTGGGTAATCATCTGTGAATCTCCCTGTAAGCATGGTAAACATACTCTTCTTCTCATTAATCTGCCTTAATTGTGAGTTGATCTTTCAGCAAACTTTGGGGAGGAGAAGGGAAGTGCCCCCTCACCCCCACACAACTTTGGTTGAGAAAGATTAAATGAAGAATACCAGAAATAAACAATTCACAAGTTTTAAACTGTGCAGCATTTTAAGGAGTGTGAGGAAATCTTGTGCCATCCAGCTCCATTTCTTCTTCATCATAAGAAGAGTGAGTATAATATAGTAAGATATTCTGAGAGGAAAAGAGATACCACATTCACAAAATTTTTATTATAGTATATTGTTATAATTGTTCTATGTTATTAGTTATTTTCTTAATATGTTACTGTGCCTAATTTATAAAGTGAACTTTATCGTAAGTATGCATGAATAGGAAAAAACAGTATATACAGAGTTCTGTACTATCCAGTTTCAGGCATCCACTGGAGGTCTTGGAACATATCCCCTTGAGGATAAGGGGAGATATGTTCTGAGAAATGCATTGTTAGGCAATTTCATCATTGCGCCAAAATTATAGTGTGTATTTACACAAACCTAGATAGGACAGCCTACTATACAGTTAGGCTATATGCCCGTTGCTTCTAGGCTACAAACATGTACGGCATATTACTGTACTAAATACTGTAGGCAATTTAAACATAATGTTAAATATCTGTGTATCTAAACATAGAAAAGGTAGAATAAAAATATGGTATTATAATCTCATTGGACCACCATAGTATATGCAGTTGATGTTGTTGTGTGGTACATGATTATCAAAAAGGACTTGTAATGAATAACAAAAGACACTTTTCCCTGAGAAAATTACAAAGGTTTTAGGAATTCTTTGCCAGGAATGTATGACAAAAACCAAATATATATATATATATACATATATATATATATTTATTTATTATTATTATTATTATTATTATTATTTATTTTTTTTTTTGAGACAGAGTCTCGCTTTCTTGCCTAGGCTAGAGTGAGTGCCGTGGCATCAGCCTAGCTCACAGCAACCTCAAACTCCTGGGCTCAAGTGATCCTCCTGCCTCAGCCTCCCGAGTAGCTGGGACTACAGGCACAAGCCACCATGCCCGGCTGATTTTTATATATATATATATTAGTTGGCCAATTAATTTCTTTCTATTTTTATGGTAGAGACGGGGTCTCGCTCAGGCTGGTTTTGAACTCCTGACCTTGAGAGCAATCCGCCCGCCTCGGCCTCCCAGAGTGCTAGGATTACAGGCGTGAGCCACCGCGCCCGGCCTTATTATTATTATTTTTTAATTTTTATTTTGAGACAGAGTCTCACTTTGTTGCCCAGGCTAGCGTGAGTGCCATGGCATCAGCCTAGCTCAAGCAACCTCAAAATCCTGGGCTAAAGCAATCCTACTGCCTCAGCCTCCCAAGAAGCTGGGACCACAGGCATGCGCCACTATGCCTGTATATATATATATATATATATAATTTTATATACTATATATATAATTTTTTCTATATATATTAGTTGGCCAATTAATTTATTTCTATTTATAGTAGAGACCGGGTCTCGGGCTTGCTCAGGTTGGTTTCGAACTCCTGAGCTCAAACGATCGACCCGCCTGGGCCTCCCAGAGAGCTAGGATTACAGGCATGAGCCACCCCGCCCGCTAAATATATATTTTTTTATTAGAGCACAGAGGCATACTGTCATTTTGACCAATTACTAATTGATAGCATAAATTTATTTGTTAAATCTATACAGTTTAAACTGTATTTTCCTAGGAGAGCAGAGGCCCCTGTGCTGTTTTGGGCCTGGGCTGCTCCATGAATCTGGCTGACCTTTTTCTGGCTTCACAGAGAGTGAACAGTCTGCTGAGTCTTCAGAATGGTGAATCTACATAGCTTCCCACCCTCAGATCCATCCTATGCAGGGGTCCTTATTCCTTACACAGAAAGAATCCCTGGAATTCCCAGGCCCCTCCCATTTGCAGGTGGCCTAGTAAGGCCCACCACCCTGGGCCCCTCCAACCTCCGTCCTCCCTTCCTTCATCTGAGGGCCCATCTCAAAATAAAACCTTAAACTCCTCTAAATTTGAGGCCCAGGCTTGGTTTGAGCTCAAACGATCCGCCCGCCTCAGCCTCCCAGAGAGCTAGGATTACAGGCATGAGCCACTCCGCCCGGCCAAATATATATTTTTTTATTAGAGCACAGAGGCATACTGTCTGTCACCATTTGTACATCACTGTACTAGTCTCCTCCCCTGAATTCCCTACTTGATTCCAGTGCCCATGTAACAGCTGTACTGTGGGGCATTTTTGTGACAATGTCCATATTTCAACGCCTAATCACTCCCTGACATCTGCTCCCTCACCAGATTCCCTTCTCAACTCTTCCAGATATTCAGGTAAAAGACCTTGAGAGCATATTTCATTCCCACTTTTGCTCAAAGGCACAAATGATATAGCAAAAATTCCTGCTGGCTTTACCTTTAAGACCTATCAACACTATTTTTACTATTATTATTATTGTAATTTATGTCCCACCCGCCACAGTCTCATCCAGAACCCACCATAATTCTCTTGGATTCTATTGCAGTAGCCTCCTCACTGGTCTCCCTGAGTCCTCCCTCATCATCCCCTCACCCAGTCTGTTCTCCCCTGGACAGCCTTTGAAATATTTTTAAAACCCTCACTCAGATCATGTTCTCCTTTCGTTCACAACCCTCCAAAGCTCCCCAAAGACTCAGACTGAAGACCCTGCTGCTCAGGCTGTCATGGCAGGTGTGATTCTCACATTCTCTGCGGACACGAAAAGAACCCCAGGTTTCCCAGATGGTCGCGGCTCAGGAGCCCCTCCAAACTGCGCACGTGCAGGCCACTTCTGCCCTTCAGCACACTGGCCGTCAGACCAGGAACCCCACCCACGAGCGCCTACCGTTCTGGAGATGGGCGCCTGAAGGCAGCGACCTGAGCAGGCGATCCTCATCCGGGGCTTTACGATTTGGGGGAAGATCCGGGGAACGCACCCCTGACCTGTGGCAGCTTCACCGGCTCGGCCGCCGCCATAGCAGCCCGCGGCGGATCGCGACCGGGAGACGCGCGGAACGAGGGCGGAGATCCGGGAGGGGCGCCGGGGCAGATCGCCCCAGTGACGCTCAGACGCGCTCCTCTCGCCCTTTCCAGCTCGTTACCTGGGCCCCAGCCAGCCACGCGCAGCCGCCAGCCCGGCGGACGCAATCGACTGCCAAGATGACCACCGCAAGGAAGACACCGGAAGCCCCGCCCCGGCGTAGCGCGCACTCGCGGAAGCGCTCCTCTTCTGGGCCTTCATTGGCCCAAGGCGGCAGGACTTTCGGGGCACAGTCTTCTGGGTAATGTTGTTCTCACCACAGCATAGGCATTTAAGTGCATATAAACCAGAAAACATGGCAGGTGTCTCCAGGGTAGAAATGCTTGCAACTGCCAAAAACGTGAAAAATAAACTAAAACCTTCAAAAGAAGAATGTATAAATGCATTTCATTCATACATTCATACCATACAATACTATACAAAGCTGAAAATGGATAACTTGATAAACACGTATAAGGCGCAAAATCACAAACATTATATTGGGCAAATAAAGTAAGGCACATAATAATCCTTATTATATGGTTCCATTTGTACAAGATTTCCAAACAGACAAAACTATACTAGATAAATACATGTCCACCATATAGGTATTAAAACTATCAAGTAAAACAAGGATATGCTTACTTGGACTATGAGAAAATTTCTTAAATTCTGTGGTTTGGATAATTGCATTGGAAGAATGCACGTAAGTCTCCTGGGGTGCTATGAATGTTCCACTTCTTCACCTGGGCAAGAGTAAGATAGATATAACTTTAGAAATAGTTTTTAAACTGGCCACGTACCTTTTGAGCTGTTTTCTCTATGCATATTATATTTCAAAAGTATGGAAGTCCAACATTATCAGGATAAATAAATACAAACATGGGACATATTAAGTGAACACACAAAACAAAATATATAGATTTTAATGCAGATTAAGAAAAGCTGATCTATGTTATGAAAATAAGAAAAAGAAAAATCATATATATTATGTTATATGTGAAGTGAGAAAGAATAAATAATGCCAAATATGACACAAAAGTACAAGGCTTTTTTAGTTATAATAATAATTTAAAGACTAAAATATGTCATAATGGAAAAATAAAATAAATTCATTGCCTATTTAAGCAAAACTTTACAAAAATAATTTTGAAAACTGTAGCCATATAGTGTACAGAATTTTTTTAAATGTTGAGAGATATCACATTACTAATTTAGAAATGGAAATCATGTCAATATGTCACAGAACAATAGAGGTCTATTATAAAATGAAAGTCATAAAGCCAGAAGTATTAATTGTGAGAAAACATTCACTTAAAATATACATTATTATAACAATTATTCAAAGAAAAAAAGAATTGTGGTAAATAAATTATTAAAATTTAGATTTTGCACATCTTCTTAAAAATTGGTAAACCAGGCCTGTAATCCTAGCACTCTGGAAGGCCGAGGCGGGCAGATTGCTAGAGGTCAGGAGTTTGAAACCAGCCTGAGCGAGACCCCGTCTCTACTATAAATAGAAAGAAACTAATTGACCAACTAAAAATATATATACAAAAAATTAGCCGAGCATGGTGGCGCATGCCTGTAGTCCCAGCTACTAGGGAGGCTGAGGCAGTAGGATCACTTGAGCCCAGGAGATTGAGGTTGCTGTGAGCTAGGCTGATGCCATGGCACTCACTCTAGCCTGGACAACAAAGTGAGACTCTGTCTCAAAAAAAAAAAAAAAAATTGGTAAACCAGACAAAAATCAGCAGAAATATAGATGACAATAATAAAATCTTCAGAAGATACACTTACATCTTATTCTTACATTGTTGAAAATTTATAAAACCTACATTCACTATACCAAAAATGAATTGACAGTGAAGATAAGTTTTCCAAATTGTCTGTGGCTATGTGAACTTGGAACACATTTTGAGAATGGGGTTCCATGAGAGAATAAGGTCTAAAAACCTATTCAAGTCAACATTGTTTTAATTATCCCAAGGAGGGTATATAACTAGTTCCAGTCTGGAGGAATAGAGGACAAACTAATTCACTGCCAACAATGGATGCCTCAAGACATCTGTGCTTCTTCACTTTTTTAAAATCAAATTCAGTTCACAGAGGGTACAGAGTGGAAATGATGCAAGGACATAGATATGTCAGTTTTCTTTCCTGAATGTTTTCTTGCTAGCTCAAAAGTTGTCAGGGCTGAGGCTGAAAAACCACAAGTATAATAATGATGAAAAACCATATTTCTAGTGTTTGGAAAAAGATCTCCTGTGTTGGGACAAGTTACATCAGAGAAATTCTGATTTACATCAGAGATATTCCCCAATAAAATATTAGCAAACCAAACTCGACAGTACATTTAAAAAAACTTGGTAAAAACTTACTGCAGGAAAGATGTCTCCAGTGTGCCTGCTCACCTCAGATAATCTAGAGACAAAACCATATAAGGTGGCTGGGTTAGCTACTGCGTGACCTTTGCTGTATTTTGTGGCCTAGGGAAGCCTGAATTTAGTGGGATTATTCCTGGTATTGGAGAAGCTTTTCTCCAAGCATTTTTCCTTAGAACAGATTGTTCAAAGGTGATAGTGAGATCATCACAGTGTATGGTCTGCAGTTCAGATTCTCACAGTCTGGGTGGGTTAGAATCATCTGATGAACTGGGCAATTTCCCAGGTGATGTGAATATACATAAAAATTGGGAATTAGTGGCCTAAATATGCATTGTGTAAGATAATGATACCTAGGGATGTAGGGAAATATTAGTTTTCTTGGTGAAAGGCTGTGGAATATTCTTACTCGTTAACATCTTCATGGTTTCTTCACGGATGTATGTGCTGGTTGTTTCCGTTCATGGAGTTATTTTTTTCTTGGGAGTGCAATGTTGAAGTTCCACTTTCAGGACACAGGTTGCCAGAAGTCATCTTTCCCATATAAGTTATGAGTTGACTAATTTACATTTGAAAACTTCTAATTGTATTCAATCCGGCTGCACCTTGGATTAAATCACCATCCTAAAATGAGGCAGGATTTCACCAATATAATAAAGGCAAGTGACTACACACTGCAGGCTGGGTTGTGGGTGTTTATCCATACTGAGCAGTCCTGTTGCTTGGAAAGAAGCCCAGACTTAGAATACAGTTTAGCGTTAATATATTACTGTCTCATTGTCACCACAGATCTGGCAGTTCCGTTTCTTTGTGACATGTGTAAGGGTCTCTCTCAAGGGTAACATAACACTTAAACAGTGTCAGGAAGTAGAGGGCTCTTAGAAACCCAGGTAAAGTGAAAGGAACCACTTCTCATGAGGAGCCACTCAGAGTGACCCACTCCAGCAGTGAATGGATTGAGGCCAAAGCCTGAATCTGACTGCTGGGCTGGGAAGAGAGCTCAGGAGACGCCATGCTGGGGGCTAACTGTTGGGTCAGGAGTAGATGAAGCTTTTTTTTTTTTTTTTTTTTTTAATTATTTTTTTTATTTTGGTATATTATGGGGGTACAGATTTTAAGGTTTCAATAAATGCCCATTTCCCCCCGTAGATGAAGCTTTAATGGCTGGGTTTATGATCTCTTGGGAAGATGTGGCACAGAAAAAGGGGGAAGTGCCTTGGGACCCAAAAGAAGATGGCAGAGCAGTGCCCTGGTGAGTTCCTGGATACTCACCATGGTGGTAAACACCAGGCACCTGGGCAGGAATCTGAAGCTCCAGCTGATCAGGACTTTTGAGGGCTGGTACTCTGAGACTGAATGGGCGACAAGCTCTAACTTTGGGTGCAAGGGGCACTCATACCCTCGTGCTGCTTTAGAGAAGAGAAGTGGAAGGCTCACATAGGCTGAATGGACAGGGTCCTTGTGTCCTGTAAGTCTGTGGGACAGGAAATAAGTGTCTTATGTATCCCTACCCCCCAGTTTGTTGGCGAGGTGGAGTGCTGAGCAGGCTGTTCCCTGCTGAAGACAGAGACATAGCATGGTATTCCTAGCTCTGCCTCCAAAAGTCCTTGGCTTCCCAGCATCCTGTCCATCCAGTTTGTCTCCTGTTGGTCCCTGCAGCCCATCTGGTAGCATTTTTGCCTGTGCTAGTGGTGCCTCCTGACTCAACTGTCTGAGCTTCCCTGATGGGACCTCCTGCAGCCTACCTGGGCCAGGATCAATCCTATTTGCTGCCCTGGCCTCTGATCTGGGGCAAAAGCAGTTCAGGAGGAATGATACTCTTCAATAAATGGTGCTGGAACAATTGGACGTTTACAGGCAAAAAAAAAAAAAAAAAAATGAACATCAAGATAAACCTCACACCTTTTGCAAAAATTAACTCAAAAATCAAATTCTTAAATATAAACCATATAGTTATAAAATTTTATTTAAAAAGACAAACAGGCCGGGCGCTGTGGCTCACGCCTGTAATCCTAGCTCTTGGGAGGCCGAGGCGGGCGGATTGCTCAAGGTCAGGAGTTCAAAACCAGCCTGAGCAAGAGCGAGACCCTGTCTCTACTATAAATAGAAAGAAATTAATTGGCCAACTGATATATATATAAAAAAAAAAAAAATTAGCCGGGCATGGTGGCGCATGCCTGTAGTCCCAGCTACCCGGGAGGCTGAGGCAGAAGGATCACTCGAGCCCAGGAGTTTGAGGTTGCTGTGAGCTAGGCTGACGCCACGGCACTCACTCTAGCCTGGGCAACAAAGTGAGACTCTGTCTCAAAAAAAAAAATAAATAAATAAAAAAATAAAAAGACAAACAGAAGAACATCTTTAGAACCGACAGCTATATTACAAAAGAAAATCTCAAATAAATAACATCTGAAGGAAATAGAAAAAGAAGAACAAAATAAGCCCAAAGTTCAGAGAAGGAAGGAAATAATAAAAGCTAGAGCAGAAAGAAATGAAATACAGAATAGAAAAAATGATGAAACTAAGAATTATTTTTTGCAAATATAAACAAAATGGACAAACTCTAGCTAGAATTATCAAGAAAAGAGAGAAGACTCAAATAAATACAATTAGAAATGAAAGAGGAGATATTATACTGGATGGCACAGAAATAAAAAGATCATAAGGAGCTATTATGAACTATACATCAACAAATTAGATAATCTAGAAGAAAATGAGTAGACTCCTAGACACATTCCTAGCAATCTACCAAGACTGAATCAGGAAGAAATAAATAGACAGCTTGAATAGAGCAATAATAAATGAGGAGATTGAAACAGTAATAAAAACTCTCCCGACTAAGAAAAGCCCAGGATCATATGGTGATTCATGGGTGAATTCCACCAAGCACTTCAGGAAGCTGTAATACCACTCCTTCTTAAACTCTTCTACAAATAGAAGAGAGGACACTTCCAAATTCATTTTATAAGGTAAGCATCACCCTGATATCAAAGTCACACAAAGACACCACAGGAACAACAAAAAATCATTACAGGTCAATATACTTAATGGCTGTGGATGACAAAATCTCCAATAAAATATTAGCAAACCAAACTCAACAGGACATTAAAGCAATCATACACCATGACTAAGTGGGATTTATCCCTAAGATGAAAATTGACTCAAAGTACACAAATCAATGCGATACACCACATTAACAGAATGAAGGATAAAAACTGTATGATTTTCTTGATAGATGCAGGAAGTGCATTTGACAAAATTCATCATCCTTTCATGATAAAAATCTCAACAAATTAGGTGTAGAAGGAACTTAACAATTCAAATATGAAAAGCCCACAGCTAACACCATATTCAATGATGAACAGATGAAAGCTTTTTCTGTAAGATTTAAAACAGGCAAGGATGCCCACTCTCCCCACTGTGTTTCTTTTTTTTTTTTTCTTTTTTTTTGGTGAAGTGTCTGTGCAGGTCTTTTGACCATTTCTAATGAGGTTTCCATTTTTTTATTGTTCAGTTTTTAAAATTCTTTGCATATTGGTCCATTTAACTTGTGCCAAAAAAAAAAATTAAAAAAAAAAAAATAAAATTCTTTGTATGTTTTGGATAACAGTTCTTTATCATGTATTTTTTTGGCAAATATTTTTCTCTACATATGTGGCTTGTCTTCTCATGTTCTTGACATTATCTTTAGCAGAGAGAAGTTTTTAATTTTAGTTAAGTCCAGCTTATCAATTATTTTGTTCCTGGATGACAATATTGAGTCTTACTATCTGTGAACATGGGATATCTGTTTAGTTCTTCTTTGACATCTTTCCTCAAAGTTTTGTAGTTTTCCTCATATAGATCTTGTACATACTTCATTTGATTTATACATTTTGGAGGATGCTAATGTAAATGGTGATGTATTTTAATTTCAAATTTCACTTATTGCTGGTATATAGGAAAGCTGTTCACTTTTTATTATTAATAATAACTGTGTGTCCTAAAAATTGGCTATAATTGGTTATTATTAGTTCCAGGAGTTTTAGGTTTACTCTTTTGGATTTTCTACATAGACAATTATATCATATATGCACAAACACAGTTCTGTTTTTCCTTCCCAATATGTATATCTGTTTCTATTGACTTATTACATTAGGTAAGATTCCAGTGCAATGTTGAAAAGCAATGGTAAAAGGGAACATCCTTGCCTTCTTTATCTTAATGGGAAAGCTTGGAGTTTCTCAGAATTAAGTATGTTATCTATAGGTTTTTCATAGATATTCTTTATCAAGTTGAAGAAATTCACCTATATATCTAATTTGCTGATTTTAAAAAAAATCATAAATAGGTTTCGGATTTTGTCATATGCTTTTTCTGAATCTCTTGATATGCAATATGATTTTTATTCTTTAGCCAGTTGATATATGTTATATTAATTGATTTTTGAATGTTGAACCAGCCTTGCATACTTGTGATAAATTCCACTTGGTTCTTGTGTGTAGTTATTTGTATACAGAGTTGCATTCAATTTGCTAATATTGTGTTGAGGATTTTTGCATTTATGTTCATGAAAGATATTGGTCTGTGGTTTTCTTTTCTTGTAAGACCTTTTTTTGATTTTAGCATTATAATGCTGGAAAGATGACTTGGAAAGTGTTCTCTTTGCTTCTATCCTCTGAGAGAGATTGTAGAGAATTTATATAGTTTCTTCCTTAAATGTTTGGTAGAATTTACTAGTGAATCTGTCTGGACCTGTTGCTTTCTGTTTTGGAAAGTTATTAATTATTGATTCAATCTTTAAATAGATATAAGCCTATTCAGATTGTCTACTTTTTTGTGTTAAATTTTTGGCACATTTTTGTGTTAAATTTTTGGTACATTTTTGTGTTACATTTATTTATTTTGAGTTAGAGTCTTACTTTGTTGCCCAGGCTAGAGTGAGTGCCATGGCGTCAGCCTAGCTCACAGCAACCTCAATCTCCTAGGCTCAAGCAATCCTCCTGCCTCAGCCTCCTGAGTAGCTGGGACTATAGGCATGTGCCACCATGCCCAGCTAATATTTTGTATATATATTTTTAGTTGGTCAATTAGTTATTTCGATTTTTTTAGTAGAGACGGAGTCTCGCTAAGGCTGGTTTCGAACTCCTGACCTCGAGCAATCTGCCCGCCTCGGCCTCCCAGAGTGCTAGGATTACAGGCGTGAGCCAACACCCGGCCATACATTTTTGATTATGTCTTTTAAGGAACTGGTCCACTTCATTTCATCTATGTTATCAAAATTGTAGGCATACAATTGTTTGGAATATTCTTTTTTATCCTTTTATTGTCTATGAAATGTATAGTGATTTTCCCCTCGTCATTTCCAACATTAGTAACTTATTTATTCTTTTTTTTTTTTCTTGGTTAGCCTGGCTAGAGGCTATCAGTTTTATTGATCTTTATAAAGTACCAGATTTTGGATTTACTGAGTTTCTCCATGATTTCATGTTTTCAATTTCATTGATTTCTGCTCTAATTTTTGTTATTTCTTTTCTTCTGCTTACTTTGGATTTAATTTGTTCACGTTTTTCTAGTGTCCTAAAGTAGAAGCTTAGGTGATTGATTTTAGATATTTATTCTTTTTTAATATGTGCATTCTATGCTGTTAATATCCCTCTAAACTGCTTTACTTCATTTCACAATTTTTTTTTTTTTTGAGACAGAGTCTCCCTTTGTTGCCCAGGCTAGAGTGAGTGCTGTGGCGTCAGCCTCGCTCACAGCAACCTCAAACTCCTGGGCTCAAGCAATCCTCCTGCCTCAGCCTCCCAAGTAGCTAGGACTACAGGCATGCACCACCATGCCCGGCTAGTTTTTTCTATATATATATTAGTTGGCCAATTAATTTCTTTCTATTTATAGTAGAGATGGGGTCTCACTCTTGCTCAGGCTGATCTTGAACTCCTGACCTCGAGCAATCCACCCGCCTCGGCCTCCCAGAGTGCTAGGATTACAGGCGTGAGCCACCGCACCCAGCCCATTTCACAAATTTTGATAAGTTATGTTTTTATTTTCATTTAATTCAAAACGTTTTGAATTTTTTCTTGATTTCTTCTTTAATGTATTGATTATTTAGAAGTGTGTTATTTAATCTCAAAGTATTTGTGGGTTTTACAGTTGTTACTGATTTCTAGTTTAATTTCATTGTTATCTGAGAGCAGACATTGTATGATTTGTAATCTTCTTAAAATTTTTTTATTTTCATTTTTTTTGAGACAGAGTCTTACTTTGTTGCCCAGGCCAGAGTGCCATGGCATCAGCCTAGCTCACAGCAACCTCAAATAAGCTCGGCATGGTAGAGCATGCCTGTAGTCCCAGCTACTCAGGAGGCTGAGGCAGGAGGATTGCTTGAGCCTAGGAGTTTGAGATTGCTCTGAGCTAGGCTGACGCCACGGCACTCTAGCCCGGGCAACAGAGCCAGACTCTGTCTTTTTTTTTTTTTGCAGTTCCCAAAATTTTATTAAGATGGAATCACTGCTAATTACACAGAAGCTACTTGCCTAAGCCAAAATCCATGAGGTTCATATGAACTTTTACACAAATTAAAAACAAATGGCATATTCAAAATCCTGATGCCCAGGTGATGAAGGCTGATGTGAATGAGTCTGCACATTTATTTCAGGCTGTTGAAGAGTTTGTGGGCCACGCAGTGGTCCCTTGCATGCAAGAAGTCAAAGAGCTCCTCTGTGCAATCCTCTTCTATATGTGACCAGGAGGAGACACGCTCACCACAGACCTCTAGCCGCTCCCGGGCCTTTACACATTTCTCCAGCTGCTCACATTGCTCTCTCACTGTTGTTAGGGGATCCACTAATTCCTCCTCTTCCTTTTCCTCCTCTTTGGGATCTCCAGATCCAGTCAGCATCTTTTGTACGTCCTCCAGACCCATGTCCAGCTACGGTTCTGGATTTAACACGAGCAGCAACAGCGGCACCTAATACACTTCAGGATCAAGAAGGACTCCAGACTCTGTCTTAAAAAAAAAATACTCCAAGAGGACATGTGAAATGCATAATTATTTAGAACACAACTTTTCAGGTTCTTGATAATTTAAACATTTGGATCAAATTCCAGCATGACAGCATGAAAAACTTCATAGACTCAGCCAAACTAGCAAAAATTATAAAAACACAATTCAAAGTCTCTGGAAATGGTGCTACAGGTATATAGCAAGTTAAAAAATAATTATTCAAGAAAATCGAACATTCAGTAACAACAGTAAATCAGTCACCTTTGAAGGAAGACAACTCCTTCCCTCCTTCCTTCTTAACTCAACAAGATGGAAACTCTACTCCAGACTGGTGGATCTGAGAACACAGGGCTCCCTCTCCCTGGGGCTCCCAGGCAGAGTGCTATCTTCTTGGGAGAGGCAATCTGTCAGGAATTCTCATCCTGTCCCCAGTGTGCAAATTTGTATGTATAATGTTCAATTGCTGGCTCCCTCATAAAGGGTACTCTCAGTGTTTCTCCATATTAAGTAAGTTATATAGACTAGGAGGTGTCATGTACCGTGCACTCCTAAGACCTTTCTCTACTTTCACTGTATGCATAAGGCCTATTTGGGTTGTAAAGTTTCTGTTGCTGCAGCAGAGCAGACATTTTAACCAAATGGTTAAAAAGGTTTTTCCACATTTTTTGCATAAGACCTTATTCTTTCATAAGGCCTTTCAGGTTTGTGAAATCTTCAGTGATGAATAAGATTGGAGGTGTGGCTAAAGGCTTTCCCACATTTTTTGCATTCAAGACTTTTCTCCAGTGTGAACTTTCTGGTGTTGAATGAGGTTGAAACGCTGGCTGAAGGATTTCCCACAATTGCTGCACTCATAAGGCATTTCTCCCGTGTGAATCCTCCGATGTTTAACAAGACTGGAGCTGTGGCGAAAAAACTTTCCACATTCTCTGCATTCATAAGGCCTTGCTCCAGTATGAACTCTCTGATGCTTAACAAGGCTGGAATTTTCACTAAAGAATCTCCCACATTCATTGCATTTAAAAGGCTTTTCTCCAGTGTGAACTTTTCGATGTTGCATGAGGCTAGAGCTTTGGCTGAAAAATTTCCCACATTCACTGCACTCATATGGCCTTTCTCCAGTGTGAACTCGCCAGTGATTAATAAGGCTGGACTTGTGGCTATAAAATTTCCCACATTCACTGCACTTATAAGGTCTTTCTCCAGTGTGAACTCTCTGATGTTTCATAAGGCTGGAGTTGAAGCTAAAGAATTTCCCACATTTGCTGCACTCATAAGGCCTTACTCCAGTGTGGATTCTGTGATGCTGAACAAGTGTAGAATTATGCCTGAAAGCTTTTCCACACTCATTGCATGTAAAAGGCTTTTCTCCAGTGTGAACTCTCTGGTGCTGAATGAGGTCAGCATTGCGGCTAAAGGATTTTCCACATTCACTACACCCATAAGGCCTTTCTCCAGTGTGAACTATTTGGTGTATGAAAAGGTTGGATTTATGGCTAAATAATTTCCCACATTCACTGCATTCATAAGGCTTTTCTCCAGTGTGTAGTCTCTGGTGCTGAACAAGTAAATATTTCTGACCAAAGGCTTTCCCACATTCAATGCATTTGTAACGCCTTTTTCCAGTGTGAAGGGCCTCCCCACTTTTGGTGCTCCTGTGTGACTCCCCTCCAGTGTGAGTCACCTGGTGCTTGTGAAGACCCACGCTAGTGGGAAAGTCCTTCCCGTCCTCTCTGCTGTGGAAAGGCTTCTCTGACAGGTGGACTCTGCAGCTCCTTAGAACTGGGACCCACCCTCCTTCTCTTTTTAAGAGTTTCTCTCTACAGTGCATCTTCTGGTGTTGGTAAACATGTGAACCGAGCAGTACTTCTACAGAAGCACTCTGCTCAGAAGGAGTCTCCTTAGCCTCCACTCCATGCCAACAACCTGAAAGCAGAGAAATGCTGATGTAGACTTTGAAATGAGGAGACAGCCCCCTCACTAATGTGCGTCTGACACTTCCAGTAATGAGTCCCTGGGATGGCTGGCAGAACAAGAGGTCAGGGTGGGGAAGGACCTACTGTGCAGTACTGAACCTGGTAAGCTCACAGACTGGGGGCCCTCATGAGCATTAAGGATGCAAGGATGGGGTGCAGCACAAGAGGAGAGGCAGGCTCCCCAACACACTCCTGCAAATGGCTTTCTGCAGGGCATTGGCTGCTGGGGACACAGGACACAGTGCAAAAGGGGTTGTCCAAGCCCAGAAAAACCAACTGCAACTGAATAGCTGGTGCTTGAGGACTATGCAAGGATAACTGCACACCTCACAACACATTTAGTGAAAGTCACTGCCAGAAGGTACTGCAGAGGAAGGGGTAAAACATGGAGGGCAGAGAAATGGGGGACAGCCCTAGGTCAGAAAGCAGAATGGTAGTGATAAGTAGGTAACTGAGGAAGAAAAGATGGAAATCATCGGTAGCCCCTTGCTTTGGCATCAAAACACCAAGGACCACTGGAAAGACTTCTGGTATGATTTGAACCCATTGCTGAATTCATATCTCTCTAAGCTCCACCCTCCAAGTACCTTTTGGCATAGCTGGCGCCATGAATCCCCAGGCAGGCATGAAGGACTCTCCCCATGACTCCAGTTGGATTATTTCATGGCTCTTGGAAGATGTAAGTCCTTAGGGAGACAGGACAGGTAAGTGGCCAGCACTGGGACAGAGTGACCCACCCCACAACAGACCACAAGAAAGAAAATTAAACAGTTCAAAAACAACTTGGAGAAGGGTCTTACAGGAACAAGCCAGTTAACCACTTCGGTACGGCGCTCACCGGCCACGAAACCTTGCCCACAGCCAGCACTCATAGTCCGCACGATAGTTTGTGCTGTGCATTGATGACAAATCCGTTTTGTTCTTGTGTGATGAGGAAAGCTTTAAAGCACTGAAAGCTTGTTTTACTTTACAGGCAGCTTTACTTGTAATGTAAATCAGAATAGGTAACACATACATGTATGTTTTCATTACATTATTTATAAATGTTCACAATTTTATTTTGATAAATGAAAAATTAGAAAAGTCATATCATGCTGTCAGCTAAAGTCGATGTGCACCTTCATCTGTGGCTGTCGACTACAGTCAACGTTTGTACTGAAGTGGTTAAACTGATCATGTCACTGTCTCGATCCTGGCACAGACAGACCCTGAGGTATGTTGGCTAGAGGACAAAGGCAGAACCTGGGGCACACTGCCACAATATGCATAGCATACTCAGGCTATAGAGAGGCCAACAGGATGAGATCCACTAGGCTGACTGCAAGATTCTGGACCCCCAAACCCTTTCCTGCATGGCTTTGGGGCAGCTCAGGGAGAGAAAGCAATAGTGTTACAGCGCAGGCCTATCTGTTACAACACCTACTTCAGGACACTGGGGAAGGAAACAGTACCCATCTATAGGAGGACAGACCTGTCCCTAGGAAAAGGAAGAAGAACAGAGCCCAGCCCAGGATACTGGTGTGGGTGTGAGGGCCTTACCCAGAGAGGCAGTAAGTGCAAAGTTCTCCAGCATCACACTGCAGTATAGGAGCCTTTGAGCTTCGTCAAGCAGTTTCCACTCCTCCTGGGAGAAGCAGACGGCCACGTCCTCAAAGGTCACATGCCCCTACCAAGGTAGGGAAAGTTGAGTTTATATGCAGCCTCCTTCTCTGGGATTCTAGGCATCCCCCCAAATACACACCCCTGCTCACGATCCTCCCCATTTCTCAACCACAGATATTACAACAGGTCTCAGGGCCACTGATACCCACTCTCTCCTCAGGTACCTTGGTCACTGTGTCCTTCCACAGCAACAACCGGCAGGTGGGCAGATACCTAAGCTCTGAGCCTGGCATGTAGGGCCACACCCCTCTTTTCAGGCAGTTCCCGAGGTCCCCTAGATCCTTCATCTCAGATACAACCAAACCAGGGCTCACACTTCAACCTATGTCTCAATGCCAGCGCCCTGGGGCCAGCCAAACATTTAGACACCCTCCAAGATGCACACCCTCCAAGATGCACATGCCATACCTCCCTTTACATCTCCAAGCCCTCATTGCCACCACTGCCCCCTACACCACATTGTATCTCCCCACCTTCTGCCTCATATCAATTAGTGCTTAAATAAGTATTGAATTCATAAATTCATAAATTGGGGGCCTGGGCCCAAGGAACCTGACTCAAACCAGTCCTTTTGGCAACCTGGAGCTGCCTGCTACACACTGTGCAATCCTGGTAAATCTTTAATGCTGGAGCAGATGATCATCCTTCCTTTAGTGAAGGCTGGGGAAACTTCAGGCTGCTCCACCAGCCTGGCTGACCTTTCCTTTATCCACAGGGAGTGGACAAGAGGGTCTGCTGAACCTGGAGTGGCAAATCTATATCACCCAACATGTCAGTCTCCATACCAGTTCTGGGTCTTCATACTCTATAACCCATCATTCCTATAGACACCAGACAGAACCACTTGGGACCACAGGACTCCACCCTCTTGAGGCAGCCCCACCCTCCAGGATCCTCTTTCCCTGCCTTTACCTCAGAGCCCATCTGAAATAAAAATGTTAATATTCTCCCTCCTAAACAGAAGCCCCAAGCCTTGCGTTGGTGCAGGCCTCCACTTACTACCTCTTGGATATCTCTAGCCCAGATCCCTCCCCAGAATACCAGATGTGAGCTGCCCATGTAATACCGCCACTTTGGGACATCTCAGTATCACCATGTCCAAAATTCAACTCCTAATCTTCCTGAAACCTGCTCCCTGCACAAATTTTTCCCATCTCCATCCTTCTAGATGTTCAGGGGTACAAAAAATACAAACAGAAATCCAGGATGATCCTTCATTCCCCACTTTCTTTCATATACAGCCACATCTGATATGGCAGGAAATCTTGTCTGTTCAGTTTATATATCAATCTCACTTGGTCGCCAAGGCTGGAGTGTAGTGGTGTGATCATAGCTCACTGTAGCCTCCAACTCCTGGGCTCAAGCGATCCTCTAGCCTCAACCTCCCAAGTAGCTAGGACTACAGGTGCACGCCACCACACCCAACTAATTTTTAAATTTTTTTGTAGAGTTGGGGTCTGGCTACATTGCCAGAGATGGTCTCCAACTCCTGGCCTCAGGTGATCCTCCCGCCGTGACTTTCTGAGGAGCTGGGATTACAGGCGTGAGTCACTGCCACCACTTTACCTGTTCAGTTTTTAAAATTGATCCGAGATCTGGTCACTCCAGTCCCCTCTATAATCACTTCCACCAGAACTCTCCATTAGTCTCTTGGATTTACCTACTCACAAGTCTCCTTGTCTTCACCCTCATCATCCCACCCTAGTCTGTTTTCCACTGAGAAGCCTTTGGAAAACTTTGAGAAACACATTGAGTCTCTCCTCTGTTTCCAACTCTCTATCGCCCAGCAGCGCCCACAGAACGAAGGCCCTGCTCGGGCTGAAATGTCATGTGTGCTTCGTCCCCTCACAAGCTGTCCACCAGACACCGGGCAAATCTCAGGCTTAAGACCAGGGACTGTGGACTATGGGCTCAGGAACGCCCGAGCCTCTGTACGTGCCGGCCGCCTGTCCCACTGGGTGTCAGAAACAGGATCCCGCCCACAAGCGCCCCACTGTTTTGGACCCGGGGTCCTGAGCAGGCTGCTTTCCCAGGGATTTAGGATTTGGGTGACGGCCGGGGCGGGTTAGGGCTAGGGCTACGCCTAGGGTTAGGGTTAGGGTTGTGCCGGAGGACGCGGCACTTACCAGAGCAGGGTCCCTTAGCACAGCGGCCGCCATCGGACTCTGAGGGCGGAGCGGACACAGGAGAACGACCGCGGCGGGCACCCGGCTCACCCTGGGCGCGGCCACCGAGGCTCAGACCCGTCTCAGTGCGGTGAGGACAATGCTTGCCTCCTCCCGCGCCTCAGCTCACAACCAGCTTCCGGGGCCCTAGGTTCAGTGAAACCTCTGGAAGCGCAGCTTAACTGATCGCCGCTAAGCCGGCGCCGGATGTCCGCCCAGTGCGTTGACGGAAACGCCCATTTCCATTGGCCGAGCAACCCCGCCGCACGGCGCAGCGTCTCCTGGGTAATGTAGTTCCACAGCTCCAAACTTGGAGAAGCTGGAAAAGCTGCGGAGATGGAGCTGAAGAAGGCAGGGTATGGAACGGCTGCCGGACTGGTGCAGAGACTGTCGTTCTTGTAGATGTGCCTTGATTTCAGTTTTCCCTGAGCAGCTGCTCAGGGAAAGACTCTCTCCTCCGCTTGAAGGACTTGAAGAGAATAAAGTGGTTTCTTTGGGCTGAACGATGTATGCATCCCCCAATTTCCTTTGGCAAAGGAACGCCCAATTTTAAAGTCAAAGGTGACGACGCAATGTTGGATGTCTGAGAATAAGTAAAGGCTCTGAATTACGGATGTGGGTGGTGAGAGTGTCGGGGATCTTAAGAATTCACTTTTCCTCATTTTTTCCCTTTCTCTTCTCAAGGACTCAATGTTGATGTTCAGGCAGGACGATAGGCCTCCCACCCACAGCCAGCATTCCTCTCTCCCCAGATTTCTCCTCTTCATCCCTTCCTACTTCATGTTCCCACTCCCTTTCCACTTCCAAGTACAAAGCCAACTCCCCACAGGTGGGTAGAGTAGGGGACTGTTGCTGACAACAAGCAGCTGTTGATAAAAGATGCCAACCCTTTACTATATGTTGTCCCACTACAGCCTCTGCCATTTACTACTGTCCTTTTGTGTCAGTCTCCTTTTCCTGATTCTTCTCCTATCCCTTCCATCTGTGGGCTGAGCAATGATCAACTTCATCACAGCCTTGGGGTGACTCACAAGGACAAAAGGTGATTAAGCATTCCTTCCTTCTTGGAACTTTCTGAAACTAGGTGTTCAGTACTAGCTGACTCTGAAAAGGAGGAGGTGAGTCAATATTGGGATTGAGGATGTGATAGGATAGAGAGAGACCCAAGTTCTTTGTCACTTCCATAGTGGCCATGGTGTTTTTATTCAGCATTAGTTATTTTAGTCAGGCCATGGTATGGCACATGGAAGAGTCGGGGGAGGAGAGTGAGGAGAGATGGACCCATTGACAGTATTTGGACAAGGTGTAGAGGAACTTCCCCCTGTTAAGCCAAGGACAGTAAGAGATGTCTCACTTCCTTAAGAACACCCCTTAGAAAAGTAGATTCTGGATTATTCACCTAACAGATTATGGGTAAGTCATGAAAATGAGCTGACCACCATGACATGAACTTCTGTGGATGAAGCTAACTAACATATTACGGAATCTAGTCCTATATACAGGATAATACAATCTATAGAAAATTCAAAATCTGGCAATAAGAAACAGTATATCATTTAGGGAAACCTACATAGGTGGCAAAACTAAAGACATCAACAGAATGGTTATCAAAATGATTAACAAAAATGTCATGCAAGTGTCAGCTCTAGGAGGGGTGTAAGGCAGGTGAGAGATGTGATGAGAGAGGATGCCTAACAAATTATGCTTTATCATGGATGGTTATTTCACAGATGTATCTTTTTAAAAATTTTACTAATATTATTTTATTGGGCAGTGCCCTGAACCAGAATAGGTTCAGAGAGAATCCCAGATGTGGTTTTCATTAAAAAACAAACTGTATACCTATAATGAACATTCTACTGAATGTGTGACAGTTTTAAAATAAATAAAGAAAAAGTCTATGTAGACAGTTTAATTTTGTCACAGGAATGGTAGACAGACTAAAACAGATTCATATATATGTGGAATGTAAATAACATGATCAGTGAGGAAAGAACAGACTAATTATGTAGTTTAGGTAAAATTCATTTATATCTCATTGAATTCACAAAGTAACTTCCATGCAGATACTTTCAAAATAAAACAACATATTCTGGTCTATAGGTTTTCTCCGTAACCTCTGGAATCCATTTTATTTCCAGCCTTTAGGAGTATTTCCATGTTTATAAAGAGTGGAAACACCAAAGTTTGAAGCCCAGGCCCTACCTTTGACCAGATCTCCTTAAGGGCTTTAGACCATACTCTTTAGTGTTTTGGAAGCCCAACTTACCCAAGAGAACATAAGAGGAAGATGCTCCTCAGAGCCCAGTTACAGGTCAAGCTTCAACACATGAGCTGCTTCAGGGAATGAGGGAAGGCTGAGGGTTACAACCGACCAAGCAGATTTTGTTAAGAATTTCCCGGATTCCCCAAGATTAGAGCTTAATGTAATGATCCACCACCCAGAAGCTCTGGAAATTCTGGACTTCCACTGGATATGGCCGTCTGCTCCTTAGACACTTGAAGTTAGGACCCCTCTGCTAGAAAGCCAGAACTAACTTTTCATCTGGACTATCTTTAGAAGGAAAAGTGGACAGGGAAATTAGGCTATAGAATGGGGAAATAGAACTGTCTCCTCAGGGAGAGAGGGGACTGATATTTCAGAGGGGCAATTCTGCTCCACAGCAGGTAAGCAGCTCCATGACCTAGTGTTACACAGTCACCAGAAGACACCATCCCATGCAGATGTTGCCTTGGTGACCATGCACTATTCTGAAGCTCCAGTGGAATCAAGTAACCAAGGATCATCAAACACCCAAGACTACAGCTATTTCTGACTGCCATAACCCTCTGCTTGCTCCCACAGCCATCCCAGCTTTCATACTTGCCTGGATTTCTTTGCTCTACTGAAAACTGATTCACCAAAAGTGACTAAAAATACTGGAAGAAAGTTATCTACACATACCACCCAAATACACTAAAGTCTCTCCTCCAAGGCCAAACCTTGAAAATAGTGGTCCGGTTTTGTGGAATTTGCTCAGTCCACACTCTGTCTGAAAACTGGACCTAGAATGGAACAAAAAGTGAGAAGTTGTTCTAAATATGGTGGTAAAAATAATGGATGTAGAAAAGAGACAATATGAGGGAAGAGTGGTTGAATCAAGGAAGGAGTTGAAAATGTTTATAAACCCAGGGCTGGGGACATTGTTCTTTCAAATGGGCTAAATGTGAGTGGCTTTTATGGAGGTAAAAATTGAGAAAATGAGAAAGACAAATCCATGACAGAGCCAAGTTTAAAATATTCAGGTAAAAGGCAGAGCAAGTTCCAAAGAGATCAGGTGAGAAAAAACTTGGTGAGTTGGAGTAATAGGGAGGAGGACATAGTAGCTGGGGCAAGGTATGGGGAAAGGAGCAATGTAAGAAACTGGATTTGATTGTGTATTCAGTGCTGAGTTCCCAGCTCTCTCCTCCTATCCCACATTTAAATCAATTCTTCCCCTTACTCCTGGGCCCCAGGATCATGGCTGTGATTTCCGCTGCCTTGGAGTTTTAGGGGCACACTTTCCAGAGTCATGTAAATGGAATCTAACAATATGCAGCCTTTTTCACTCTGGCTTCATTCACTTAGTGTAATGCATTTGTGATTCACTTTTGTTTTGTGTATTAACAATTCATTCTTTATACTTCTGACTAGTCTTCCAAACTATGTACCATACTTGTTAATCCATTAATTTGTTAAGGACTTTTTCTGTCAAAAACTGTGCATTAATAATAAAGCCAACATATATTTGCCTCAGTAATTTTTTTTTATCACAGATTTTCATTTCACTTGGGTAAATACCCAAGAATTGAATTAATGGGTCACATGCTAAGTGTATGTTTAATTTTAAAAGAAACCATTTTCTGTGATAATTGTATAACTTCACATTCCCACCAGCAGTGTATGAGTTTTCCAGTCCTCTGTATCCTCACTAATACTTAGTATGGCCAGCATTTTACATTTTAGCTGATCCAATGGCTACGTAGTAGTATTTCATGGTGGTTTTAAATGGCATTTTCCCCAGGACTAATGATGTTGAGCAAATTTACATGTGCTTATTTGAAATTCGTATAATTTTTCTGTGGAAATGTCTGTTCAAATCTTTTACTTATTTTTTATTAAGTTGTTTATGTTGGTTTTTGTTTTGTTTTCTGTTTTTTTGATAGAGTCTTGCTCTGTTGCCCTGCATAGAGTGCAGTGACATACTCGTAGCTCACCGTAACCTCAAACTCCTGGGCTCAAACTCCTGCCTTAGCCTCCCAAGTGGCTAGGACTACAGGCGCACACCACGATGACACCCAGCTAATTTTTCTATTTTTAGTAGAGATGGGGTCTTGTTCTTGCTCAGGATGGTCTCGAACTCCTTAGCTCAAGCGACCCTCCCACCTCCTCCCAGAGTGCTAGGATTACAGGCTTGAGTCACCTCGCCTGGACTATTTGTTGTCTTAGCATAGAATTTTGAGATTTATTAACATATTTTGCGTTCAAGTCCTCACTCAGGTATGTGATTTGCAAATACTTTCTCCCAGTCTTTGGCTCATCTTTTCATTCTATTAACAGATCTTTTAAAAACCATAAAATCTTAATGTTGAGGAAGTCCAATTTATCAGTTTTTCTTACAGTTTTATTTTTGGTTTTGTATCTAAGAAATATCTGATTAACATGACCACAAAGATTTTCCTCTGTGATTTCTTTTAGAAGTTGTGCAGTTTTTTAAATTTGTCCTTTTGGGCTATGACTCATTTTTTTTTTTTTTTTTTTGACAGAGTCTTCCCACAATTTGCGTCCCTAGAAACTCAAAGGCCTTTCCCTTTGTCACAGCAACCTCAAACTCCTGGGCTCAAGCAATCCTCCTGCCTCAGCCTCCCCAGTAGCTGGGACTACAGGCATGCGCCACCATGCCCGGCTAATTTTTTCTATATATATCAGATGGCCAATTAATTTCTTTCTATTTTTATAGTAGAGACGGGGTCTCACTCTTGCTCAGGGTGGTTTCGAACTCCTGACCTCAAGCGATCTGCCCGCCTCAGCCTCCCAAAGTGCTGGGATTACAGGCGTGAGCCACCGCGCCCGGCTTGCTATGACTCATTTTGAGTTAAGTTTTGAACATTCCAAGTCTTTCCTCTTCTAGCTTGAAAAGTATATATGCTGATTCTATTTACTATATTTAAGCTAGAAATTGCAACCATTTAATACATTAGAGTACTGGATAGTGTTGTAAATACATTTACTTTCCACTTGGAAATATAAAAGATTTAAAACATTGAGCAATGTCTCTTTTCAATTCATATGATACTGAAGTTATGCATGGGAATTCCATCATTCTAATTACATAAGGAGATATATGTTTTACACAGTGATAAGCAATTATTTCAATCAAAAGATGCACCTCTCTTCATCCTCATTCCTTTTCTGATTGCAAACCTTTCACTTGAGATCAAACTTCTTTGGTCTCGAGTATTAAGAAATTTATTTTCTGTATAAATATATAAAACCAAACTGTAACCCAGCCACGACAAGACCACTTACTTGCTCCAGGCTTGTTGGGCCATGGTCGCACATATTTGGCTCAAAATAAACCTCTTTAAATTATTTTACAGAGCTTGGATTCTTTTTCATTGACACCTCCTAACATCCCTACTGCATGTTCCACAGTGTGGTTATGTCTGGAGTCTTTTCTCTCTTGTTCCTAACCTAAAATGCTGAGGCTCACAAAACTAGAGCTTCAGGCTACATGTGTTTAGAAACAACATGATATTTATTAACTTCCAGCTAAAGAAGTCTGAATGACATTAGCGTATAGTGTGTTTGTGTGATTTTTTTTGGTGATCATTTTTTGCATAAAGAAGCTTGAAACAATGTCTCTAAACATTTCTGTGATATGTTACAGACTACATTCACCATCGCGGCTCCTTTAAGAGGAAGGTCCGCCTAGTCCTTAGAGACTCTAAGCTCCTCTACCAATAGGGCTGTGCCCCAGCGGTCGCGCGGAATCCCGCAGTCTGGCGTTGGTGCTAATGAGAACTACATTTCCCAGCAGCCTTGGCGGCGCTAGGCCAATGAAGGCCTAGGGAAGGAGCGTTTCCGTTCTTGGGTAAGACGTCGGGGTGGGACTTCCTGTCCCTCTTCAGGCGGACATTTTATTTGCTTTTCGATTAATCCCCCAGATCCGCCTCTGGAATACAGTTTCAGACCGGCGGTGACAGGAAAGGGAAAAACAGAGAGAAGACGCTGTCTTCCCTGAAGAGAGGCAGCCCCGAGGCTCGGAAGTGGTGCTGCCGAGTGACCTGGCTGCTGGGGCGGATCCTGGACCTCGGATCCCTTGTTCCCGTACTTGTCTCCCCTTTTCCCTAGTCTGCGAGCCCGATGGCGGCAGCCGAGTTGATGGGCCCAGCGCAGGTGGGTTTGTTCCTAGGGCCTCGCCCTGACTTCCATCTCTGAATCCTCAAGGGCTCCTTGAGTTACTGCAGCCCAGGCCCTCGTGTCCAGGACAGTGGGGGCACTCATGGTTGGGTCCCATTTCTGGCGGCCAGGACCGTGAGTTGTGGAAGGTCGTTGTGGGCAGAGGGACCAGCCCATGCAAAGGGTCAGAGGTGGGACTCAGCTGGAGCATTCAGGAAAACTGGGTCTTTGGTACCTGAAAGGATCAGAGTGTACGAGAAGTAGTCACATCTGGAATGTCAATCTCAGCATCTGGGTTTCTATTCTGAGGGTGATGGGAGCTATGGGAGGTTCCGAACAAATGAGAGACACGATCTGAGGGTTTAGAAAATATCCCATACACTGCCTAGGGGAGAACTGACTTGGGTTGGCCATGGGAGGGGGGGAGCGGGTATGATGATGAAGGTGAGGGATAATTAAGATTGAGAACTAGTCCGAGGCAACACAGTTGTTAAGAGGTGGTCCTGAAGACTGAGGCACAGAGGGTGGACAGCCCCAGGTCACTTTGTAACGGAGCAGGAATATGGGATAGGCCTAAACTTTTGCGACTCCTTTATGGTTGCTTGTCTCACAGTTTCCCTCTTCCCACAGGTTCCCATGATCTCAGAAGTAATTATGGACCCTATACAGGTGAGGGGAGAATGCCTATGCTCTCACTGATCCCACCTCCCACCGCTGCCCCACATGACCTCTAGGATTGTTGTCATATAGAATGCTTTCCTGCTACTTTCTGATCCTTTGGATCTAGGAACCCTGGAGAAACACCAAGCCCAGGGACCCAGGCCCAGGCCAGGGGCTATATGGAGGTGTTTCCTTTTCTAGCAGCTGTTGGAATAAGGGAAGGTTGCTTCAGGCTCAGGAGCCAGCTTGTGCAAATACTTGGAGGTGAGACTGAGACTTGGAATTTTCAAGAAATGGCAGGGCTCTGCCACCCCTGATAGGAACCAAGAGCAGGGGAGCAGGAGTGAGGCTTGAAATGATTGGCTGAGGCGGTAGACCTGTATTCCGAGAGTGATCTGACCAGATGAAGCGTGGAGCAGAGGAGGGATGTGATCTGACCTAGGTCTTAATGGCCTCCTCCTAACACTAAGTGGAAAACAGATGGTATGCATTGAGGCTTACGATGGAGGCAGGGAGACCAGGGAGGAGGCTACTACAAAATTCCAGATGAGTGGAGATAGGCCAGAGGAGTGGCTGTGTAGATAGGAGAAGTTATTGGATAAGATTTATTGATGTGAGAGAAAAAGAGATAACCTCAAGTTTTTTGGCCTTTCGAGCTACTGTTGACTTGCCCATCTATCAGCAGAGATAGGCAAGTTAGTGGTAGAAATAACTTTCAATGTGGATGTGAAGAGTTTATCTGTGGCCATGTGAAGAGTCGAGATGTTCCAGAGAACACTTGAGTGGAGGTGTCAAGTGGGGTGCATGACACATACAACTGGAGTTCTGTAGAGGAGCTCAGGATGAAGATTATTGTATAGACTGGAGTTTATGAGAGAGAATATTCACATCACAGTAGTAGTGCAATTAGTAAGCCAGGAAGGTGATGGTGGAGGCCACTGACTGGATAGAGGGCCAGAGTTGTGAGACAGATGTGACCTCAAGAGTGATGTCCATGTGGAAAAAAAGTATGGACTGATGGCCCCTAGGCTTACGGGAGAAAAGTGAGCCCAACTTTGGTTGTCTAGTAAGCATGATCTTAGCAACCCCAGAGGAATTAGCTGGCAGAAAGGTGGTAGAAGTAACTGTCCGTGTGGATCTCAAGAGTTTAGCAACTCAGGGGTGAGGCCATGTATCCTAGGCCTAGAGTTTAGATGGTGCTTTCCTGCCCACTTGCCTGTGGTTGCTGTGGGTGGACACAGTGATCATTGTGACCATGAAGAAAGAGAAGACACCAATGGCACCCAGTCCTGGTATTTCCTTCAAGTTGAAGAGTTAGGTAGGAGGGTGTACAGGTAGATGTGTGGAGCATGCATGGGGGTCCTTGGGAGAGAGACTGCTCATTGACTTGGCTCTCTCCATTGTGGCAGGGGCAGGTGAATTTTGAGGACGTGTTTGTGTACTTCTCCCAGGATGAGTGGGAGCTCCTTGATGAGGCTCAAAGGCTCCTGTACCGTGATGTGATGCTGGAGAACTTTGCACTTATGGTCTCGCTGGGTAAGGCCCTCACACCAACCCTAGTGTCCTGGACTGGGACCTGCCCTTCCCTGTTTTCTCAAGGTGGCCTTGCATTTCTTACGTAAGAGCCATGGGCATTACCTCCTTCCCCAGTTCCTGGAGTAGGTGCTGTGGATATGGGGCCTGATTCTGGGCTGTGTGCACTGCTGCCTGCTATTCCTGAGCACTGTGAATACCTGCTGTCCCAGAGCAGGCTTGCATGCATGAATCCAGGAGTTAAGTGTCCTGTAGTTGGCTCAGTAGATCATATTTATCTTGTCCTTTCCCTGACTGGATGTCCCTATCCATATTCATGGGACTTCTGTACCTCAGTTTTCTGCCACTTTCCTTTAGCTGACATTTCCTGTGGCCTGCCTGTGCCAGGAATTATGTAAGAACCATTATAGTTATTGCTTGCTGAGACCACTGGGCCATCCCTGCAATATCCTACTTTGAGATTATTTTTATAATACTTAGTTTTCTTCTCTGTGGGGTGGGTCACCCAGACCAGTGCTGGCCATTTACCTATCCTGTATTTCCCTTAGGACAGGCATCTTCCATGTCTCGTGTAATTGCCTCACTGGAGCAGGGCAGTGAGCCCTGGGCACCTGACTGGGTAGATGTGACTCCAGCCATTGCCAGAGAGACTCTAGGTGGGAGTGGCCCTGGTGAGTAGGAGCTGGGGAAAGGGGTGACATCAGGGTTGGGTTCAAATCATTCCATAACCTCTGTGTGCCCACAGTTTTTTTTGTGCCAAGACCACTGGTCACACTTTATTTCTATCCACTTAGCCATTTACATACTTGCGTTTTATGCTCTGACCTTTGGCCTCTGGCTGTTCCACACCTCTGCCTCCATGAATATGCAAAATGAATATGCAAAATTAACACATGAAGGTGCAATGTTTTCTGTCCCCTGGCTCTCCCCTCCACCCCGCAGCCAGCATGGACTGAGTAGTGGGCATGTCAGCACTATGGGTATGGGAAAGAGAAAGACACGTCTCGTATTATTTCCACAGGCCAGTCACCAGTGGGGTAATGCAGGAGCACTGTCCTCGCCTCAGGGTCCCTGCTCTTTCATCTCCTGTGTGGCCTTTGAATGATCCCTTTCTTCTGGGGGGTTCGAGAGGGCTTCATTTGTAAAACGAGACAAGGGGCTTTACCAATTTATCTCTGAGTTTCTCAGAGTTACTGTGAGTCCACAAAAAGTCGCCCATGTCTCATTTCCAGTTCAACCAGCTTCTAGCATCCTCTTTTCCCAATTCTGAAAGCTGTTTCCAGTATTTGGACTTGCTTCCAACAGCCCAAGCAGTAAGGGCACGTTAAATGCAAAATCTTACCTAAAAATATAAAACATTACCTCTTCTTCTCTGGCTAATTGTATTGGACACAAAAATAATTTTTGTAATTCTCATGAGTAGGTTTTGTTGGTTTAAAGGCATAATTAACATTTTATTTGTGCTCCGTGAGTCATTCTCCCACCACATACACACAAATGCATATGCGGAGAGATGTATATTTAAATATTTGTTACTCTAGAGAAGTACAGACTATTTAAAACAATGTTGTGGTAGAACTATTTTTCAAACTTTTTAAAACTATTTTTTTAATTCTTTAGCAAAATATTGCTGTCTACCATTTAAAAAAAAAAATCAAAAGTGGAAGTACACAAAACACATAGAATAAGGGTTCTACAAAAGTTTGACCAACATTTACAAGTTGCACTCTCAGTATGCTTATGTATGAATATATAAACACTGAAGGCAGTTCCTAGAGCAAACCAGATAGAAATAAAATAATGACCAGGTAGATTACAAACTGAGGTAGTAACCCTACAAGCACTTCTATGGAAAAATTCATCCCCACAGTGAAAAACTCCAAATGAAGAGGTCATCTGTTTTACTTATGTTTTCCATTATCTGTGCTCTCCACTTCTCTATCTGCAGTTCTCTCCAGCATGGGCCTATACTTCATGGGTCATGAGATGTGCACATAACCAAAGTAGTTCTTAAATACCAGCTACTCAATAGCAATTTGATTTTCTTAGACACTGATATACCTTCTGCACAGCTCTCACCTGTCCCCAGCAGCAAGGAAATCCTATTGTGAATGACTTTATTAAAGACCTTGCCCCTTTTTCCTGTTCTGTATCCCACAGTTGTGTCCTCTCCCAGTCAAGGCCTCCTCCATTCTATGACCTTGATCTTGGTTGTGTTAGGCACACATTTGTGATGAGGATGCCTGCCTCCCATCTGCGTCAATTTTTCACAGCATTTCTCTGCTTTCAGGTTGTCATGGAATGGAGTATGAGGAGATACCTTTTGAGCAGAGCATTTCTAGAGAAGGATTGTCACAGATGAGGACTCCCAAGGAAGGCTCTTCTGCCAAGAAGGTTCACACCTGTGAGACATGTGGCCTGGTCTTGAAGGATATTTTGCACTTGCCTGAGCATCAGGAAACTTACCCTGGGCAGAAACCGTATATGTGTGTGTCGTGTGGGAAACAGCTGTGGTTCAGTACAAACCTTCACCAGCACCAGAAGCAGCATAGTGGAGAGAGATCTTTCAGAAGAGGTGACAGCAGGGCCTTTCCTGTTAACAACTGCCCTGTCCAACCGTCAGAGATGCCTTTTATGACAGGGAAGGGCTGTAAGGACTTCTCAGCCAACTCAAGCATTTTCCAGCACCATGCCCCTCACAGTGAGTGGAAGCCACACGGTAATACCAAGGGTGAGGAGGCCTTTCACAGTGGACAAAGACATTACAAATGCAGTGAATGTGGAAAAGCCTTTAGCCGCAAAGACTCACTTGTTCAGCACCAGAGAGTCCACACTGGAGAAAGGCCTTATGAGTGTGGTGAATGTGGGAAAACCTTTAGCCGCAAACCTATACTTGCTCAGCATCAGAGAATCCACACTGGAGAAATGCCTTATGAGTGTGGCATATGTGGGAAAGTTTTTAATCATAGCTCTAACCTTATCGTACACCAGAGAGTACACACTGGAGCAAGACCTTACAAATGCAGTGAATGTGGGAAAGCCTACAGCCATAAATCCACACTTGTTCAGCATGAGAGTATTCACACTGGAGAAAGGCCTTATGAGTGCAGTGAATGTGGGAAATACTTTGGTCACAAATACAGACTCATTAAACACTGGAGTGTTCACACTGGAGCAAGGCCTTATGAGTGCATTGCATGTGGGAAGTTCTTTAGCCAAAGCTCTGACCTCATTGCACACCAAAGGGTACATAATGGTGAAAAGCCTTACGTGTGCAGCGAATGTGGAAAAGCCTTTAGCCACAAACATGTACTTGTTCAACACCATAGAATTCACACAGGAGAAAGGCCATATAAATGCAGTGAATGTGGGAAGGCCTTCAGGCAAAGGGCTTCCCTCATCCGCCATTGGAAAATTCACAGTGAAGAAAGGCCTTAGTATAGGAAATACGCCATCTCCTTGTTCAACACAACTCACACCACAGAGAAGCTTCAGGAGTAGCTATGTGTGACCATCAGCCAGAAGTCGAACTTAATACATTCGAACATGTACCCTGAGGAGATTCTTCTGAATGTCAGCTATGTGGGAAGCATTCTGGGGCTATGTTGCATTTTCTAAATTGCCCAGGACCCTTGCTGGAGTTATATCACTGCCAGTGCCTCTGACAGAAGCCATCTATCTTTGCATTGTTCAGTCCTGCACAGTGTATAGGTCACCTCAGCATGCTTCACAAGGCAGACCTTTGTACTTGTCCTTCCCCTAGAGGGATTGTCAGTAGTCTGAGCCCATTGAGAGTTCTCACACCCTCCTTCCCCCTGGCTGGTTTAAGCATGAATGTGATGACTGTGACCCAGTTTTGTCCAGGAGGATGGGATCTTTGTTCTACTGGCCACTTGTAGAAAAAGTTTCTTTTCTTCTTGGACTTTGTTAATCTCATGTGGCACTTGTGGTGGATTTATCCAGCCTCTAAGATATCTAACCTGCAATTACCTGCCTCATATTTTTCTGGTTTTGCAACAGATGCCTTAATTTATAGACTACCTTTAATCTTGGGGATTCTGTTCACTTTATGGGTTGGATTGAAACAGAATTGAGCTAAGCCAATATAAAGGCATGACCAGCTTTTGTGAGAGCTGCAACAATTTGTGTCTCAGAGAATAGCTTTTGTTCTAGTGTCAGCATAACTTGCATTGCTGCTTAAACTCTCTTAGGGAAGAATACCAGTCTTCATGGGCCTAATCTTGTGGTCGATATGCCAAGACTATTTGTGTGACTGGGGTCACCCTAAACATTGGGTGTGTGTTGTGAATCTCTAGAGTATCTGGGAGCAACATGAATTGGGTCCCTTGTTCCCAGGGGATTTTTCATATTCCCCAGGCCTCTTGAGTAAGCCTTGATCCCCTGGGACCTGCCCAGCTTCCTGAAATTTATTATTCAATAGGCAGATGTTACTGGCTCTCCTATAAAAGGCCGAGGTAGGAATTATAATTGGTACAGAGACACTAATTAATAGGGAGTTGGGAAACTGCCACAAACTATGGGGAACTGACCATTCTAAAGGTGTATCTGCACATGTTTCCATTACTATGGCTTTGTTATAAAGGTTTATATAAATTCTCAGGACTCCTATACCTGTGTTTCCTATGGCTAAAATCACTGTCAGAACAGTTAATCTAAATATTTCCTGCAATAAACTGTACATATTTGTAGTGTACAGTTTGATAAGTTTTGAAACACATTTGCACCTATAATACCAAAATTTTCCTGATTCCCTTTATAATCTCTCCCTCCCTCTCACCCATCCCTAGATAACTACTGATATGTTGTCACTGTAGTTTTGTTTGCATTTCCTAGAATTTTATATGTAGAGAGTAATTTAATATGTACTCTAATATATTTGGTTTCTTTAACTGTATATAATTATTTAGTGATTCATCCTGTTCTGTGTTTCAATAGTTTATTTCTTTTCATTTAAGAGTATTCCACTGTATAAAAATAGTTCCAAAACAAGTGATCCAGGAGAGAACTCATATAATAACCAACCCATAGTATCTGTCATTACCTAAACATGGTAGTTTTGTGCCCTCATTTCTTATATATTCCATAGGTAACTCTGAGCTATACAAAGGTAAAAAATACAAGGAGGTAGGAATTTGTAGGGAGTTTTCTTGGACTTTGGTGACCATAATCATATATTTTTTTCTTTATTTTTTTTATTTTTGAGACAGAGTCTCACTCTGTTGCCAGGGCTAGAGGGCCGTGGTATCAGCCTAGCTCACAGCAACCTCTAACTCCTGGGCTCAAGCAATCCTTCTGCCTCAGCCTCCTGAGTAGCTGGGACTTCAGGCATGTGCCACCATGTCCAGCTTATTTTTTCTATATGTTTTTAACTGGACAATTAATTTCTTTCTATTTTTAGTAGAGATGGGGTCTCACTCTTGCCCAGGCTGGTCTCAAACTCCTGATCTTGAGCAATCCGCCTGCCTTGGCCTCCCAGAGTGCTAGGATTACAGGTGTGAGCCACTGTGCCCAGCCTGTTTTTCTTTACTTTTTTAAATCTTTTAATGGTGAATTACATTGACTGATTTTCAAATGTTAAGCCAACGTTGCATTTCTGGGATAATCCCCATTTGGTCCTGATGGATTATTCATTTAATGTATTGTTGAATTTTTTTTCTTTTTTTCAGATTTTTGCAGCTAAGTTCATGAATGATGTTAGTGTCTGATTCTTCTCTAATGCCTAGATTTGGCTTTGGTATCAGCATAATCCTGGCTTTACGTAATCAGTTGGGAAGTATTCCTTGCTCTTCAAGAAATGCTCTTTCTGGAAGAGTTTGTGAAGAATTAGCATTATGTCTTCTTTAAATGTTTGGTAGAATTCATCAGGGATGTTTTCTGGGCTTGGAATTTGTTTTGTGGGAAAATTTCTAACTACAATTTTAATTTCTATGGTATCTAGAGGGCTGTATAAGTTGTATCTACATTTGTCCATCTGTCTATTTATCTACTTACCTATCTATTTTCTATCTCTAGAATGAGCTTTGATTGTTTTTGTCAAGGATTTTGTCCACTTCATTTAAGTAATCAAATTTTTCAAAATATTCTCTCATTATTTAATACCTATAGAATTCATAGTAATGCCACCTCTCTTATTCCCGATACTAGTAGTATCTATATTTGTCTTTTAATCCTGATTGGTTTAATTGTAGAGATTCATCAATTTTATTGATGTTAAAGCACTTGGTTTCATTAATTTCTCTGCTTTGTTTCTTTTTTTCCCATTCTGACCTTTACTATTACCTTTTGCTTTTATTGGATTTCATTTCTCTTCTTCTTCTTTTTTTTTTTTCTGAGATAGTCTTACTCTGTTGCCCAAGCTGGAGTGCCGTGGCATCATCCTAGCTCACAGCAACCTCAAACTCCTGGGCTCAAGCAATCGTCCTGCCTCAGCCTCCCAAGTAGCTGGGACTACAGCCATGCACCACCATGCCCAGCTAATTTTATATATATTTTTAGTTGGCCAATTAATTTCATTCTATTTTTAGTAGAGACAGGGTCTCTCTCTTGCTCAGGTTGGTTTCCAAGTCCTAACAAGCGATCCTCCTGCCTCGGCTTCTCAGAGTGCTAGGATTACAGGCGTGAGCCACCGTACCCGGCGTCTTTTGTTATTTTTTAACATGGAAGCCAGGGTCCTTCATTTATCATATCATTTGTCCTTATAGATCACTATTTGATGTTCAGTGTATTGAGAATCAGTTTTATATACTTTGTTATTTCATTTAGTTTTTCTCTTCTTTTCCCTTTCCTTTCCTTTCCTTTTTTCCCTTTCCTTTCCTTTCCTTTCCTTCTTCCTTTCCTTTTTCCTTTCTTTTTCTTTCCTCTCTTTCCTTTCCTCTCCTTTCCTTTTCTCTTCCTTTTCCTTTTTCTTTTCCTTTCCCCTTTCCCTTTTCTTTCCTTTCTTTCTTTCCTTTCCTTTCCTTCCTTTCCTTTCCTTTCTTCCCTTTCCTTTCCTTTCCTTTCCTCTTTCCTTTCCTTTCCTCCTTTCCTTCTCCTTTCCTTTCCTTTCCTCCTTCCTTCTTTCCTTTCTTTCTTTCTTTCCTGATAGAGTCTCACTCTGTTGC